CTCGCAATTGCGAGTTTATATCTCACAATTCTGACTTTATAACTCGCAATTGCGAGTTTATATCTCACAATTCTGTGAAAAAAAGTCGCAATTAACGTGACCTTTTTTACAGTTTTTAAGAGAACGTCAGAATTGCGTGATATAAACTCGCAATTGCGAGTTAAAGTCCAATTTTGAGGGGGGCAAAAGACTGATATGTTCTCAGAATTGCGAGTTTATATCTCGCAATTCTGACTTTTTTTCTCAGAATTGCGTGATATAAACTTGCAATTCTGAGAACATATCAGTCTTTTGCCCCCCTCAAAATTGGACTTTAAGTCGCAATTGCGAGTTTATATCTCGCAATTCTGACTTTTTTTCTCAGAATTGCGTGATATAAACTTGCAATTCTGAGAACATATCAGTCTTTTGCCCCCCTCAAAATTGGACTTTAAGTCGCAATTGCGAGTTTATATCTCACAATTCTGAGAAAAAAAGTCAGAATTGTGAGATAAAAAGTCGCAATTACCTCTTTTATTTTTTATTCAGTGGCGGAAACGGGCTTCCATACAAGTGAGACAGCTGTGTAAGTGAAGAGCATGAAAGATAAATATCTCTTCTGTGCATTTTTTTTTTATTGTGCATCTAAATTTCTCAAATTGTGAAAAAATTATGTCTGTTTAATATGCATAAAATGCTAACTATGAAGTTGTTCTTAACAAGACAAAAGGACGGGTTGTTTCATTAGACAAATGTTAACTTCCATGACTGTTATTTTCACCACAGAATGTTACAAATACAAATGGCACTGGAAATATTCATGACAGAAATGATATTGTTAACACTAATATTGGCACTGGAAAAAAGTCAGCTAGTTTGGTTTGATGTTGGACTGTGTTGCATGAATAGACAGTTCTTTGCATACTCATTAAATATAAGTCCCTGACCAGGACATATTTGTATGGTGGTTTAATGGCAACTTCAAATGAGTAAGAGGTTCTGTCTTTTCATACATATGTTGTGTACGTGATTGATTCATACTTGTGTTTTTTTATGTTTCAGGGCACAAAGATGGAGATGCCACTCTGGCTTGCCAAGGGCCTGTATGAAAGGAAGAGGCGAGTGCTGTCTGTGGAGCTGCCAAAGGTATATCGTGAGGGCTGGAGAACAGTGTTCGGGGCGGATCCCATTGTTGTAGACTTGCACAAAATGGGGCCGTATTACTATGGTTTAGGCTCCCAGATGCTACATTTTGACAGCCCAGAAAACCCAGAGATTGCTAACACCATCCTCCAGGTGAGCATGTCTAGATAGGTAGTCACAATTCACAATGATGTCTGTAAAAAGCATGCAAATTCAAGCTAAATCATATGTAAATGATAACCATACAAGATATGACGAGTTTAATTTACCTTAACCTGTTAGTAATGGGTGGTTAGAAGAAAGCTTGGTGTTAAGGTTCACAACTTCACATGCTGAAATCATGTCTGTTTAAAAAGGAGAGGGACATGTCCTGTAATCCAATCCTATTTTAACCAGTAGAGGGAGCAGTATGCTTAAAATCATTACTAGTACTGACCAGTTGCTGGGCAGACTGATATGCCAGGTTGAATAGGACGTACAGTTCTGTAGTGTTAAATCTGTGAACACCATTAAAGCTCCATGTTAAGTTCAGGGAAAATTCAGGGCTTTAAATGTCTGCCGCATAGTTATTATGGCTGGTACTGTATATTGATTATTACAATACAACAAGCAGCTTTGAACTTTGAGCAAGAACATGGCTAAATTCTTCTATTATGTCTATAAAATTGCAAATGCAAAAGGTTTTTTTTTTTAGTCTTTTAGTTTGTCATGAAATTGATTCAAATTTACGAGTTATATTTTGCAGCTAAACAGACTTGAATGTTTGTTATAACTGATAAAAAACAATTTTTCTACTGTCCCTGCATCCTATATATATATATTTATATATACACGCATGCTTCCATAAATTTTATACACTGTCCCCATCTCTCTTATCAGACCTTCATGGGTCGTTTCCGTCGGACCATGGACTCGTCCCAGAACGCCTACAATGAAGACACATCAGCGCTGGTGGAGCGCTTGGACTGCTTAGAGAGGAGCTTGTTTAAAGCAGGGCAGAGTGGACTAAACAGTTTCCAGCTGTGGGAAAAGGGCCGGTCTTCTCACCTCACAGCCTCTAGTCTAGTTATCAACTACAGAAAGAGGAAAATTGCAGACCTGCAGGCTTGAAAGACCAAAAGATTACAAAGAAGGACTAAGAAGAGTTTCTTGTGAGTGTGTGAGAAAATGGGTCACATATGTTTGTGTTATTGAGAGACTTGTGTAAGTTGCCTATGAACTTTTTACTGTGAGATTTTTTGGGTGTAAACAATAATTCAATTTGGTATGGTCAATAAATCAATATATTCTGTTGTTTTCACTCTTCGTTTCTTCCTTAAGTTCTTAAAGGTCATTAGTTCTTTTTTATCTTTACAAATATGTCTTTTCTTTTCCCAGAGATGCTTTTTATAAAGCAGTGACTGATTCTTCCATTTATTCATCCTAAAGAGGGTTGAACAGGCTTCATCTGTTTTTTTCAAAGCCTGGGGAGTTATGAGTTTGCACATCATGGATGTCAATAACTAAAACATTTTAACAAAGATTATTTCTGGTGTTCAGACTGAAACATAAATAATTAACTTTAAAGGGATAGTTCACCCCAAAATTAATAAATTACCCCATGATTTACTCACCCTCAAGCCATCCTAGGTGTATATGACTTTCTTCTTTCAGACAAATACAATTGGAGTTATATTAAAAAATGTCCTGGCTCTTCCAAGCTTTATAATGGCAGTGAATGGGTGATATTCAATAGTCCAATAGAAGTCCAATAAACTGCGTCCATCCATCATAAAAAGTATCCCACACAGCTCTGTTGGGTTAATAAAGGCCTCCTGAAGTGAACTGATCCGTTTTTGTAAGAAAAATATCCATATTTAAAACTTTTATAAACGGTTTATAAATCTAGCTATCTAGTTTATAATCTAGCTTCCGGTTTATAAAGTTTTAAATAGGAATATTTTTATTTTACAAAAACGCATCGATTTGCTTCAGGAGGCCTTTATTAACCCCCGGAGTAATGTGGAGCACTTTTTTATGATGGATTGGCGTAGTTTATTGGACTTATGCTGGACTATTGAAAAATAACACCCATTCACTGCCATTATAAAGCTTGGAAGAGCCAGGACATTTTTAAATATAACTGATTGTATTTGTTTGAAAGAAGCGAGTCATATACACCTAGGATGGTTTGAGGGTGAGTAAATCATGGGGTAATTTTCCTTTTTGGATGAACTATCCCTTTAATGCATTTATGCCGTCATGTAAAAAGTGCTGGTTTCTGATAATCCATGAGCTGTTATTTAGAATATTGGAGGTGACATTTGTATGCGTCATGAGGTTGCTTGTGACTATGTGTGTGCGAGCAAGCCTTATTTGCATCAGTCAACACAAGGACAAATCAAATCACTGCATGTCTCCACAATTCAGTGCCCCTTTCTCTCTCCTCTCACCTCAATAAACAAACACCTATCCTTCAGATATTATGTATATTTGAAATGGGTATCTCTTTTCTGCAGGATCAGATTTCAAATGTCTTAGTCTTCTTAATTTTAATGAGCATGTTTATGAATACAGAGTCCTAGCTGCTTGTTCGTGTGTAAAATGTGGGTCAGCTGATGTGGACGACCTCATCCATGATTTCGGAATGGAAGTTATTGATATGTCCCTCTGGGATGGTCATATCGACCTTGTTATCTCTCTGCAGCCTCAGCTGAGTTGGCTTGGGTAGGGCAGGAGGGATTTATTGACTTTCTGAAAGGTCCAAACTAAAGAAAAATCACTCATTGCCCTACAGTTATCTTGAAGTTACATCATTTGGTGGCTTGATTACAAATGGGGCAATGACTTCATTGAATAACCATACATATTCAGACAGTAAAATAAAAGTTCTAATGTTTGCAAAGTGTAAATTATATTTATTTCACGAGAATAAATTAAGAACAATTAAAGTGTTTTCTCTCTCTCTCTCTCTCTCTCTCTCTCTCTCTCTCTCTCTCTCTGTGTGTTTTTAGGATAGTGTTACATATAGTGGTTGAGGGCTACAGTAACCAGAAGGTTGATTCAATTCCACAAGGTGAAAGCCATGACTGTTGTGCCCTTGATCAAGGTACTTTGATAGTTGCCCAAGACTTTTTCCCCCTTGGGCTTCCAAGCACCAACCCAACATACTAAAAAACTGCATAGCACAAAAAAAATAATTTAACACACATATAAGTTAAATGTCATTGTACTATATACAGAGTTAAAAATCCTAGGTTGAGGAGTCACGTGATGGTAAGCTGGGAAATGGCAGCACGCTAGAGCGGCGCTCGGATACCCACCATTAATTACATTATTTAGTATATAGTTGCTTCGCAAACTTAATAAAACTTCGATAGATAACTTTTCACTTGAGGCATCTGACAAACGACAAAGTGACATCGTCCAAGCAACCAATTCGAGGAGTGCAAACACGTCTGAAAACAACGATCCCAGAAGCTAATGATTCCCCGTCACTAGAGTCAAGCAGTCAAAACCCGAACTTGAAAGATCTTTTCGCTGAAATTAGTCAAATGAACGCTACTTTGCAGGGGGTAGCAAGTGATGTGATAACTATTAAAGCGACTACTACAGAACTTAAAGAGGCTATTAGTTCTGTACAGGCCAGACTCGACGAAGCCGAGAATCGCATCTCGCACGTGGAAGATTCAACGAATCGCCTGACTGGTGATACTGAGAGGATGGCGAAACTTGTGGACGAAGTTTCGGGGTCGGAGTTCGAGATTGAGCGGAGTCATCGCAGCTTCGGGCCAAAGCCTAATGATGATCAACGTCCCCGGGTCGTGCTGGTGAAATTTCTACGTTATACTGCGAGGGAGAATGTCCTGGCAGCAGCGAAAAAGAGTCGGGGATTTGAATGGGAGGAATGCAGGCTTTCCATCTTCGAGGATATGTCGAGAGAGAGAGCAACGATGAGGAAAAAATTCTCCGCAGCAAAGAAGTTACTCTGGGACCGTGAAGTTCGACATACCCTGGTTCATCCAGCCACTCTGAAGTTTACTTGGAGGGGAAAAAAGCAGAGTTTTACTGACCACATGGAAGCGGAAAGATATATAAAGGAGCACATCCAACTACAAGGAGGTGACAAGTAAATTGCTGTGACTGGAAATATGTAAGTCGAAGTATTATAATACGTTGTTGAAATGGTGGGTCGGGAAAAGCTTTGGGGTCTGTCTTCCCGAGTCAGCGAGTGCGCTCTGACCGCGAGCATCACGGACCAAATGTGTGACCCAGAAGGGAGCGCACTGCCCCTTAAGGGCAGTGTTTTGAGTTTAGTTTTTTCTCCCTTATTTGTTTTGTTTTCTGTATGTTTTTCAAGGTTTCATTGTTCACAAAAATGTTGGAAGTTAAATAATTGGTTTTCTATCAGAAATGACTGTGGGTATAATACCAGTTTATATGTTAAAGGTTTATTTATTTATTTTTGGAACTTAACAAGCAAGTTGCATCGGAGCACAACAGGTGCACAGTTTTACACCGTGTGTGATGGATAGACAATGTATAAATATCATATCTTGGAATATAAATGGCTGTGGGTCACCTGTTAAAAGAAAAAAAATACTTGCATATCTTAAGATCAGAAAAATTGACATCGCCTTTTTACAAGAAACACATTTTAAAGATGAAAAGGAAGCTTTGAAACTTAGACGTGACTGGGCAAGAGGAGTGGAGTAGCCATACTAGCGAGGAAGAAAATACATTTTGTATTGATGAATCAACACAAAGACAAGGAAGGTCGTATACTCTGCATAGAAGCAAAGCTCAACGATGTTAAAGTAGTGTTTTGTAATGTATATGCACCAAATAAGGAGGAGCCTGAATTCTTTCATGAGGTAAACAAAATATTAGCCAACCTCGAGGGACATGTTATACTTGGAGGTGACTTTAATCAAACTATGGATGGCATCCTGGACAGAAGTCAAAACAATATCAGATCAATCCCCAGAGATAGGGCTGCTATTCACACTCTTAAAGATGACAATGGATTAACAGATATTTGGAGACTGGTTAATCCACGAGAACGGGAATACACATTATTCTCAAATTGTCATAAGACCTTTTCAAGAATTGATTATTTTCTGATCTCCAATTCTTTAATTGACTGTTGCTGATTGTATAATTGGAGTAATAGGATTGACAGATCATGCACATGTGGAATTAAAATTAGAAGTGAATGTAGATTTTAAGAAACGGGGGAGGTGGAGACGGAGATGTACTACTCCTCTTAAGAGTCATGAACATGGAACTGACCCAACTACTGCCAAACAACCCTGTTAATAATCTGTTTTTTGTTAAAGGGGTCATATGATGCTGCTAAAAAGAACATTATTTTGTGTATTTGGTGTAATGAAATGTGTT